AGAGAGAGAGAGAGAGAGAGAGAGAGAGAGAGAGAGAGAATGAATATCAGTCTTATCCATAGATGAGCCCCCAGTGGGTTATCCAGTGCTAAGTGGTCAACCCTAAAACATAAGTATACAAACAACACTAAACATACTCAGCAGGTTGTATTTATTTATTTATTTGTGTGTATGTAAAGTAGTAATGACTAAAGAATAAGAGGCCATGTAATTTAGAGGGAGCAGAGACATGAGAGGGGGTTGAGGAAGAAGGGAGGGTGATATAACTATCTTAATTAAAAATTTTAAAAAGTTAAGTCAAAACAAGAACAGACTTGTTTTATGCTTTATTATTTTCATTTCTCCACTGCTTCTGTCTTGTTGGTGAGCCTTAGAAACTTCTCACACCAGCTCCTCATAGCTTCCCTGAGCATCTCTGATCTTTAGAGATAAAATGTTCCAAAGACCTTTACAATTTTAGTATCTCATCAGATTAGCTTTTCTACATCATTACTTGGGAGCAGGTAATGTTTATGCATTTTCCTATTGTTATGATCTACTTAAACTTACTGTAACTTCGGAATTCATGACAGACTTCTGATACAGCCTCTTTCAATTTAATGATTTTCTAAGTGAAAGAAATTTTGCAGACTGAGATGAATTAGAGTGTATCAGTGAGGATCAGTCCTTGTCTACATCTTGATCTATGCTGTGTTTGCATTTTTTGAGACTTGATGCATTTTTAGAAACTGATCAGTCTAGCTAATGTTATAGAATTGGTGGTGGTGAGGATTTAAGTGGGCTTGTAATTTTCTTGTACTGGTTTGACTTACTCAGTTTAGAAACAACATGATACTGGCATCATACATTCATTGGTTAGCTTTAACTTTTCCTATTCTGTTGTAACAGCTGTGTACAAAACATAATTTGTCCCTTAAAGCATAGTGGCACATATTATGTGTGACATAGTGTAATGCTAATTATAAACAGTTTGCAACAGGTTAGAGATGTATACTCTGAAGTCTAGAACAACCACTTGAACAAAAGAGATAGGAAGAGTTATATAGCCTTAGTCCTTGGAAGGATCTTAAGTTGAGCTGAGTTTGAACAACACAACAAAACTCTGACTCCAGAAACCAAACAAATAAAAATATCTAGTAAAGAATGAAAAATTTCTACAATGTCATTATAAAGCATGAAATTCTTAGGAATAAGTTTAAGTATATATTCTAGACCCGAAAGCCATAAAACCTTATCAAGAGAAGTTAAGATTTAATGAAAAACTCATTGTTGTGAGGATGTCATTTTTTCCAAAGGTGTATGTAGCAGTTATTTAGATTATACAGCTCTAAATCTCATAGATTATTGTTTTTTGTAAAAACTGACTTTAAAGTTTATTGAGAGACCTATAGTAGCTATTACTGACTTTTGCAAGCTTTGCTTTCCTGTGTTGAAGTGCTATATGTGACCTTATTTGGAAGTAGTCATTACAGATGTAATTGTTCAAGTTATGATGAGGTTACACTGGTGTAAGATGGATCCCTAACTCAGTGTGACTGGTATCCTTATACAAAAGAGTAATTTGGATATGGTCAACGGGTATAGGCCAAACATCATGTAAAGGTCAACACAGAAATCTGCAAGCCAAAAAGGACCCACCAGCAGTGGCCCAGAGAGAAGCCTGGAGCAAATTCTCTTCTACCATCTTCAATAGAAAGGAAATAACAACAGAAAGACCCTGTTGATCTCTTATCCTTCAACTCTTTGCTGCCAAAACAGAGAAATAGTTGATGTCTACCCTGTAAGCTATTTGCTCTGTGCTGCTTTGTTATAGCAGCACTGTCAAACTAGTACAGCAGACAAAGCAATTTTGAAAGATTGCAAACAAAACAATGTGCACCACCACACCTGGCTAAAATGTGGGCGGGCTGCCTGTCTGTCTGTCTGTCTGCTGTTGTGCTGCTGTGCCACTGAGTTATACTCTGTGTTTTCCCCCCCAGCCATGATTCCTTTTTTTTTTTTTTTTTGACATGAGATTATGACCTGTGAGTCTGCCTGAAAATCTGTGTTTATGTATTTACTAAACATTAAAGCCTGACTGGAAAAGATTCTGCCCCACCTTAGTATTGTGTATGCTCTTGAGTTTCTTCAGGTTTTTTTATTCACCGTTCAGTGTCAAACAATCAAGATTATTAAGACAGTTTCTTGCTCAGCCTGATACATGTTCCCAAAGGAGCTTGCTCTCCTGTAGGGCCTATATGCTTTGCAGCGTTTCTCCAGCATCACTTGCTCCTGTGGGACAGAAAGGAAATAGATAATCAGTTAGCTGTCCTCTGTCTACACTGTTTCCAGGGCCCAGATGTTTGTTTAAGCTAGGCTTACTGTCTTGTAGGGCAACATTACCATGTAAAAAGAAAGTGTTGACTGAGCTTGGCTCCTCCAGAGAACTACAACCTGTGACTCATTTATTATGGGTTTACAATCAGTTCCTAACATGTTAGGTAAAGAAACAAACAACTTCCTTATTTTATGGAGTGCTAACAGAAGGAAACTCGTTAATTTCCTAATTGTTCTCTTGCCCCAGATAGTCACTCTACACATGTAGCTGCAGCAATAAACCTGAGCTCTGTAATAACAAATTCTATTGTCAGGCCCCCTTGGGAAGGTGTTACATTTATGTCTGCTGTTCCCAGTGACCTTACCCTGTGTTCATTCTTAAGTCTATAATTATGTATTTGTCATCTGTGTCTAGAATAGTCCATGTACTTTGAAAAAAGTCAATGGGTTTCTATAAAAAGTTTCCTGTAGCTTTTTGTAATGCAGCCCTGTGAGTGAGGTGTTTACCTAGCTAGGAGTCCACAGCTTCAGTGGAGCTATGATGTTTAATAAATCTTTCATTTATTTGTATAGCTTGCTTAAATTTCAGTGTTTATGTGTGATTTCACTTCTATCAAAATCTTGCCAACTTGATAGACTTCAGAATTTTACTTTTTTCTTTAATGTTTGTCTTGCACTGGATAAATAATGACTAGCTCTCTCTCTCTCTCTCTCTCTCTCTCTCTCTCTCTCTCTCTGTCTCTCTCCCCCCTCTCTCTCTTTCTCTCATGAGAAGTTGGCAGTTTAGCACCATGCAGAATGAAAGTGTATGCATTTGGCCTACAGTTGAAAATATATTTGCTTCCTTAGACTTCCAGAAGTTCCTATTCCTTGCTACAGTCAGCCAGCATCATAATCCTCAGCCACAATCTAGTCCATGGCTAATGTTTTCTTTGAGGTAGACTTTTACATCCCATTTTATAAATGAGAAAACTGAGTCTTCAAGATTCTATAACATGCCCAAGGTTGGGACTCTGGCCAGACTTCAGGGCCCAGTCCTGTCACACCTGTCTCCTGATTCCTAGATTGCTGCTCAGGCTCCTCATCTTCAGCTTGTGTTCACGTCTGTTCCCCTGCTGACACCCTGCAGGCCTGCTACTCCAGTTTGGCAATTCTTTTTGTATTAAAATTCTAATCCTTTGCACCTATATTACAAATCTGTAATATCCTACAAATATTTTTTCTCAGTTTTCATTTGTCTTTAAAAAATGTCAGATGTTAAAACTTTAATTTCTGGACACTAGTCTTATTTAGAAAAGACCTTTTCCTGTTTTCATCGTAAAAAAAAGGGTTCTAATCTCTGTTTTGGTAGCATTTCTTTGTTCTTAAATTAAAGCTCAGATAGGGAGTTCATCCTTGGAAGGCAACACTGGAGGGCAATCTACTTCTGTTCTTTTTTTAAATAGGGCTTTCCAAATGTCTTAAGGAAGAGTGAAAAGAATAAAGTTATCTCTGTGCTCACATGTCTGCTTTTCTCTTTGTGTGTGTTGTGTGCATGAGTGTGCATCTATCTGCATGTGGAAATTAGAGGGCAACTTCCAGTGCTATTCCTTGGTATCGTTCACTTTGTTTTTGAGACATGGTCTCATTGATGTGAAGCTCACCAATTAAGCTAGACCGTTTACCACCATTGTGCTGGGATTACTAGTGTGCACCATTGTACCTGTTTTTTTTTGGGGGGGGGATTGTTGTTTTGTTTGTTTGTTTTTAAAGATAGATCCTAAGGGTCAAACTCAATTCTTTTTTTTTTTAAGATTTTATTTATTTATTATGTATACAACATTCTGCTTCCATGTATATCTGCACACCAGAAGAGGGCACCAGATCTCATAACAGATGGTTGTGAGCCACCATGTGGTTGCTGGGAATTGAACTCAGGACCTCTGGAGTCAGTGCTCTTAACCTCTGAGCCATCTCTCCAGCCCCAAACTCAACTCTTTATGGTTGTAAAACATGCACTTTACTGACTGAACCATCTATCCAACCCCTATAAATCTGCTTTTATATATTATAGGTGAAACAATATTATAATCAGGAAATTAGGAAGGTGAAAGAAGTCATCTATTCTGTGATCCTGACCTTGTCCATTTTCTCTCCCTTTAGGTGAATGAGCTGGATGGCATTCCTCTGATCCTGGACAGCAGCAACATCGATGACAACAACCCCTGTATCCTTGAATATGACCCACAACCAGGTGCTGTAGCCTGGCTTTGTCTGTCTTGGTATTTTGTTCAGTATTTAAGATGAGTAGCTCATACTATAATGGGCTAATTTTCAAGGTAACCAGGACATCTGAAGACAGCAGGTGGCTAAAATGTATGACAGAGACAGCTCATTCCACCCTTGTGCTTATATCATCTCCCAAAGTATGTGTGTGGTCCTTGGAATATGCATACAACACTGGGCTTGTTTTTGCTGTAGAGATCTTAGACTCCTGTCAGTTAGCACTGTTAACAAAGGCTTGACAGAACAGAAGCATGAGCAGCGTTCTGCACTCTAGCAATAAGAAATGTTTCTGTGCCCATTAGTTTCCTTGTTAAAGGCCCTGTCCTGCAGACTCCTGCTGCTGAGGTGAGATCTCGGCCCCTCTTGGGTTGTTGTCCAACACTTAGCTAGTGTTCTGTGTGAGATCTTGACTATTTCTTTACTGCACCAAGTCATGATGCCAAATAAAACTAATTTAGTACAATGATTAGTCAGGGACCTGGTGCAACCTCTTTAGGTCTGAAATGAAACCTATTTAATTATAAGAACATACCTGATGAGCCAAATTCTATCCTGCCCTTTGCTTTGGGCCCTGCATGGCCTATGATTTTGCATTGGAAAGAGGAGTTCCTGTGAAGCTGAAAGTTGAGAGAATAAGCCTTGGTTGGACAATGAAGAGCCCAGCCTAGGATGAGTCGGGGTGTTTTATCCAGGAGAACCTTCTCTTGGGGCTTCCGCCAAGAAGATAATCACACATTTCATAGGAAAGTTAACAGAGTAATGCTTAATGTTTTTGCTAAAGATATTGCCATTTGCCTAATTTACAATATCTCATGAGCATAGCAGCTTATGAGATCAGGAAAAGCCAAATCAAGAGCTTTAGAAGACCTTCCTTCAAAGCTCAAAAGAATTGACACACTGTGTACATTGTCATCAGTCACTGCATATTCAGAGGTTACTTTTTAGCTCAAAGAAAAAGGAAAGATAAAAGAAGAGTGTTTTCATTGGTGGGGGCAATAAAAATTGCAGATGTCTTTCCAGTGAGAGAGCCAGTTCATTTTGCCCTGGATTCTACCCACTATTTACTTTCATGCTCCCTAAACTGAGAGTGAATAAAGGTTTTTAGCATTTGTACTTGTTTTTACCAGAATCCAAAGGGGGTTGTTACCGTGTGCTTCAGGGAGTCAGCTTCACAGCACTTTCACCTTTGTTTAATCTTTTTGTGTCTTCACATGTTATGGCCTTACTCAATCCTGATAACACATGAAGCAGATGCTAGCATGATCAGACCCATTTTGTGGATGAGGAAATAAACCAAAAGTCCCAATCACTTGTCCTAAATGTCAGCCAGAACCTAAGCTTGTGAGTAGCTGGTTCTCCTGTACTGTCTCTATAGGAGTTGCTAAGATGAGGTGAGCATATGCAGCCAAATCATAGAACATGTCAATGAAGTAGAAAAATTACTTTAAAGCATATCATGGATATCCATGTAGACAACTGGCCTTTGTGGTAATAATGCAGCATTGTGAGACCCTCAGTTCTCCTCTAAATCATTAAGAAAATTGAAGACGATAAGCAGTTTTAATGTATTTGATATTTCTTTGCAGTTTCATTTATTAGTCCCACCAGATTTTAAAGTCATATAAAGTATATTTACAATAAAATGAGCTATATCCTGAAATATCAGAACAAAAGGCAAACAATGTTGAATTGTTAGAAATGAGAAGGCATTACACCCCAGTGATTTATTTTTCAGTTGTAAGCTGTAAATTAAAGTCTGGTTACCAAAACAAATAGAGAAATATTGTGCATCACGTTGCCCACCTTACCCACAGGTGTAACTGTACAGCTGCTTTGCTTCTGTTTCACTGCTTTTGCTCACAAGTTTCCTGAGAATTACCTCATTACTCTGACATTACTCCTCATCTCCCAGTTGTTGTTCTTTCTCGGTGCTTTAATTTCTTTTCAATTTATTTATCATGTATACAGTGTTCTGCCTGCATGTATGCCTGCACAACAGAAGAGGGCATCAGATCTCATTACAGATGTTTGTGAGCCACCATGTGGTTGCTGGGAATTGAACTCAGGACTTCCAGAAGAGCAGCCAGTACTCTTAACCACTCAGCTATCTCTCCAGCCTGCTTTTTTTCTTTTTTTTTATGTTTTGTTGAAAATCATGTAGTCATGCTGGGTGTGTTGTTGCATGCCTTTAATTCCAACGCTAACTAGAGAGGCAGAGGCTGGTAGATGTCTGAGTTCAAGGACAGCCTGGTCTACATAGTGAGTTCCAGGACAGCCACAGCCAGAACAACATAGTGAGATGAGAGAGAGACACACACAGACACAGAGAGAGAATAATGTATTTTTTGAATAGTGTTTCTTTTTTCAAAGTACTAGGAGGTGTTCAAATGGGATTAACTGTGGTTCTGGCACTCTCCACACTTTGGGTTTTTATTTTAATTTTGAGAAAAAGGTCTTGCTATGTAGCCTAGTCTGGTCTCAAACTTTTGATGGTCCTCCTTCAGCTCCAAGGAGTGTGCCACTATGCCCAGGATCTCCATTCTTTTTATTCCACCGTTGGAACTGGTTTTCCTTGTAGTTGCTTTTGTCTATGGAAATGTTATACTGTGTGTGTGTGTGTGTGTGTGTGTGTGTGTGTGTTTTAAGATTTATTTATTTATTTTGTGGTTAAAAGTGTTTGCCTGTGTGTATGTATGCACATCACATGTATGCAGTACCCACAGAGGCCAGAAGGTGTTACTGATCTCCTAGAACTGGGGTAACAGACAGTTGTGAGCTGCTGTGTGTGGGTGCTGGGAACTGAACATGGGTCCCCTGTTCAGCTAGCTCTCTTAACTGTTCAGCCATCTCTCCAGTCCAGCCCCATATACTGTAATAGATATCTTTTGGTACTACCTGTATACTTCATGGTTTGAGCATTTTTAGCCACCTTACTTCCCTTGGAGGTCCAGCACTGCAGTTAAATCTGCAGACCCCATTCCCCATTGTACATTACTAAAGGGACTGAGCATCTCCTAAAATGTTTAATTGGCCAGGAAGTGAGTGCTCACTTGTAACCCAGCACTCAGAAAGCAGAGGTAGCTAACTACTTAGCAAGATCCTACAAACAGAAAACCAAACCTTTATAAAACAACATGTTCACTTGCCATATGAATTGTATGTGTTATATTTGTACTTATACACAAAACATAAATTTCTTGATGAAGTCATTTGTATATTCTTATATTGCACTGTCTGTCACTTCTATTATTTGTGTGTGTGTGTGTGTGTGTGTGTGTGTGTGTGTGTGTGTGTGTGTGATCTATATGCTCATGTGAGGAGTGCATGTGTACATGCTTATGTGTATATATGTGAATGCATGTTTGTGCACAAGTATGTGAAGTCTAGAGCTTTTACATTGCATCTTTTTCTCAGTTACCTTCTACCTTATTTTTTTGAGAAAGGGTCTCTTACAGAACTTGGAGTGCCTAGATTTGGGTAGGCCTTCTGACCATTGAGCTTCAGGGACCTATCTGTCACTGCTACTCCCATTCCCTGGCACTGCGGTTACACATGATTTTGTATTGATCTACCCTCATCTCCATTACTAGACACATAGTGTATGAACACAGGTTGGATGTATCTGTAGACAGTTTTACTTCTACTTTCATATGATATGTATATATGCATGATTTTGTATGTTTCTGTAAACTCTAGGGCCCACAAATGAGAGAAAACATGTCATACTTGTCTTTCTGAAACTGATTCAATTTGCTTAATATGACTTGCCATTTTTCATCCATTTTCTTGCAGAAAACCTGATTTCTTTATGGCTGAAAACACAATTCTTTATCCTTTTTGCTGGAGGACATGTAGGTTGGCCCCATAATTTATCTATTATGAGCAATGCTGCAGTAAACATTGATGTGCAAATATTTCTGTGATGTATTGACTTGGAGTCCTTCATATAAATACCCAGGAGTGGCATGGCTATGTCAGCTGCTGGCTTTGCTTTTAGTTTTTGAGGAACCTCCATTCTGATTTTCATAGTGGGTGGACTGAATCCCCACCATAATTAAGGGGGGTTGTTGTTTTTGTTGTTGTTTGTTTGTTTGTTTTTGCTTACATCCTTGCCTGTGCCTGTAGTTCTCTAAGTGCTATTCTCACTGGGCTGAGATGGAAACTCAGTATCTTTTGTTTGTTTGTTTTTTGCATTTCTCTGATGGGTACAAGTGGCAAACATTCTTTTCATATATTTATTGGCGGATCATACTTCATCTTTGAGGATTGTCTGCTCACTTCGTTAGCTCATTTAACTGGGTTGTTTTTAGTTTTAACTGGTTGGTATTTAGTTTTTAGAGTTCTTTGTACATTCTAGATATTAATCCTCTATCAATTGTATGCCCAGCAAAGATTCCTCTCATATTTTGTAGGTCATTCTGCACTTCATGAATTATTTCCATTGCTGGTTATAAGCTATTACTTTCATGAGTCTTGTTTGTTAACTGTTGGCATTATTTCCTGAGCAAATGGAGTGCACAACAGAATCTTCCAATCTCAGGAGCCTTGCTCCTCTTCTTAGGTAGCCCAGGACCTCTAAGACCTCCTCCCATGCTCTAGCTATGGTATGTTTAGTTCTTTATTTAGAACCTCATAAAATGTGTGTCTTGGGCTATCAAAATTGATCAGCAGGTAAGGGGGCTTGCTGCCAATCCTGACCCCTGAGTTTGATCCCTGGAATAAATTCTCCCCTACTCCCTTCTTTCAGTGGCTTTTCCTTGTCTGCTTTGTTGGTGCCTTTTCTATAACTTAAATGTTGACATGTGCCTAGATTTCCCGGTACCTAGAACTCTATTCTGTTGTCTCTGGCAAATATCTTTTACATATCTGACACTGGTCCAGGCCTTAGGAAAGACAGCGTGACGGGGTTGTAATTCTTCCTATGTAAAGAGTTACCATGTCTTGATTCTTGCATTTATTTGATTACTAATCATGAGGCAGAGCAACTCTACACCCAAGGAAACTTCCCCAAGGGTTCTTCAGTTGTTTAGTGAATCTTTATCCTAGGTTTGGCAATATTTTGAATTTGTTTGGTTTAACTGATTTCTTCTAATTATTTAACCTACCCAAGCTTTTAATCAAACTTTAGGCACCTTATTCTGCCTCTCCCTCTCTCTGTTTTTATTTTTTAATCAAACTTTAGGCACCTTATTCTGCCTCTCCCTCTCTCTGTTTTTTTT